ACAAACCTGTGTGTGTGTGTGTGTACATATTTGCTACATTCAATAACATTATTGATAATTTACTGATTTCATAACTAAAATCATTACTCCTTTTTTTTTTACATAAAAATACATCACATGGGAAACAGCCAAAAGTTTTAAAGTAAAACATTAATTTCAAGTACTAAAAATTGAAACCCAAATTACAGTTCAAGAATAGCTGTTCTGAGTTAAAAAGTTAATTGACAAGCATCATTGTGTGCTTTTTAATTAATAACACCTTTGGAATAACATAAAACACCAAACATTTGTGTTTAGTTTTCCTTTGGCATTCAAAGACTACGATTGCAATCAACAGCAAAATGGCAAGAACAGAACTGAATGAGTCAGTCAAAATTATGACGCTTAATAAAAAGAATATGTGGCTGATATGTGCAGATACGTTAAAAACTGTTTGTCAATGGACTTTTGTTATGAAATCAGTAAATCTGCAACATTATTACAGAATTAAGCGAGCATCCCAAGCATATTTATATATCACTGTGCTGCCATTGTGCCAGATTTCTTCAGTGAAACCTCAGGTTGAATGATCAGTGATGAGGCAGGTTCCTTAAGCTTAAGCAGTTTATCAAGACAAAATGATGATGTCACAGAAGGATGTTTCACACGGCCGGGTCAGTGTCTGTCTGCGTCTGTCTCTGCCCCCCCCTGAGGGAAGCAGCCCCTTTATCTATGGTCTCCATACAGACTCCCGGAGCCGGGGGGTCAGACGGCCTTGGTGAGAGTAAGTTGTATGAGAGGCAAAGGACATGATGAGTAGCAAGGACAGGAAGAAACATAAAAATAAGAATGAAAGCTATAAATGAGTGAACTAAATGAACATAATTAAGTAACTACAAATTAACTAGGGAAATCTGTCATGCCTATATCTGCAACTACTCACATAAACTGGGCAACTGATAATTTCTTTCACGTATGAGCTCCACCTTAAATCATTTAATACAGTGTTACTACGAAGCCAGCAATTGTGAATATTTACATGATACTTACTATTCCATATTTAGCATGAGCAATAGATGCACAAGTGACATAAGAGTCATAGGGCTGTAGTAGGAGATTCTCCAGGAGATGCTTCTGAATTGGTTCAACAATCCAGCTGGATAAATGCATAAACTGTGCAGATGCTCTGAATAAACTGATGTGCTGTGCAACTGGTTATAACGCACTGGACTGGACCAAATGTATATGATATGAAGAACCACTGCCTGAAGTGAATAAGAACTTGATAATTCAGTCCCAGATCCAATATACAGTATAAACATCTCAGTGAAGCAATAATCAACACTGGAATTATTCACCTGGGGCCTCTAGGATATTGAGTATTGTGGATAACCTCTTTGAAGCTCTCGATTTATTGCATAAATAAATCCTGAATACGAGGCTTGACATGTTTCTGATCATACTACACCACACACAGATACATACAAGGGTATGAGAGAGCGCACGTTCCTGAAATGTCCATATGCAAAGTGAGGCTCCACACCCACTCTCTACTCTCAGTACTTGCAGTGTAGGTAGGGAGACCTACAGTGGTTAGATTAACTGGGCTCGAACAATTCCAGAACACTGGGACACTGGCGGCTGGTTACCATGGATGCAAAACCAATGGGTGAGCGAGCAAGTGCGCGAGCGAGGGAAGCAAGGGAGGCTCTGTTACATGCATCACCTCTCCAAGTATCAAATACCATTTTGACACAGTAATTAGAAATGATGACTCTCGTTAGGGATCACTAATTCAAGAGGTAACAGTGCAGGTGAAAACTACCTCTCTAGCAGTGATTTTATATCTCCGCAGTCACAAAGAATGAAAAAGCAAAAAATAATACTGAATTAACTACAGAGGCAGCACATAGTGTAGTTTAAGGATCTAAAACTGGCACCAAAACATTTCAGGTTTCAATCGCCAGAAGTGGAATTGCTTGAGAAACCAAAGGTATTGAACTGCTGCTAGTAATTTGCTGGTGTATAAAAGTAAAAGTGCACAGCTTTAAGGTATAAAAATGTTTTCATGAGTAAAACTGTGTGCTTAAATTCATGAATGACACAAACTGATATCAGAAATACATACCCCCCCCCCCCTAACGTTTATGACAATTGCTCATACATGTAAATATAGATACTATTCAGGAAGATGCCACAAGGTCCAATTCCCCCCCACCTCGCTGTCTCCAAGAATAGATATGTACACTGGGGATTTTAGGCAGATATTACTTGACTGCAGTTTTAGCCCAGTGACAAACACAAATGTGCTAAGTCCTCAGTAAATACTGGGGTTAAGTTAATGTTTGTGTCATTTCCAAGTCAATTAGGCAAACAATTACCCCAGAGCCCACCTGAGGCCGAGCTGTTGGAGCTGGGTGGGGGCAAAGATGTGGACCATCTGCGGGGGGGGACCTCGCCGGACCAGGTTGGGGAATACTAGTCTATACCATCACGTTCTGTTTCCTCTGTTCTCTATACTTGGCTTGATGAAATCCTCCACTGTCCGTTTAACTGCCTTCAACAACACAACAGACAGACACCCTCCTACTCTGCTCTTAGCCACAGTGGAAATAGCACTTCCTGTACTAAAAATCCCTAGCTGACATCACACAGCAACCCTGTACTCGCATAAGAATATACATTATTCCTTCCACCCAAGCAAATTTGACTTGAATATAAGATTTGTACTGTTTAAGGGGAAATCTGCATTTCGATAAGTAAATCTCGACACACATAACTCTTGGAAATTACAAGAAATAATGGTTTTCTTTCCTTTATCTAAACAACATGTGTCCATAGTATTTAGTATGCAAGAGTATGAATAGCTAACCACAACCAACAACATCTGGCACTTTCCAAAAGACAGGGCATGCCCCTTTACGGAGATGGATACCTGCCCTCTAAATAAGTTAATTTCTGCTTGTCAAAATGCTGTCTCTTAATGTGCCGATAATTCTCCACAAACACCCCACTGACCTGTATGGAACACGCTACAGCAGCATCACCCGCACGCCATATTATCACCCCTCTCCTGATCCCCATTCATACAGCAGAGGCCATCCGTCTGCTCCGACAGCCAGTAACCCTGTACGCTCCCTGGTCGTTCACATCTCAGGATCATCAGTCACTGTATGAAGTGCCCAAAATCAGAACAACGCCCCTTTCAGAATCCATGTACAGACCTACTTGTTTTTAAACATAATAAAGGATTCCCCCAAAGCTTAGCTGACCCAAAATGTTCCTTTTTCATGCCTAAAAATGGGACAAGCCACAAGATAAAACACAAAATCCATTAGTTACTTTGCTGCAATACATCTCTGCAGTTTTTTAAAGCTATCAATAATTATAAATATTTTCAAAAGCGCATGAATAATTCTATTTCCCTGCTAGAAGCCCTCTCCAAAAAGAAAGAGACATTTTTATTATGGGTTTACTGTACAAGACAACAAAGCCATTAGTCTGTCAAACATGAATCAGTGCCCAAGACACAGAAAAAGCACCACGACTGTAATCTTAGGTAAGTTATTTAAATTACATTTCTCAGGAAAATATGTAGGTCATAGCTGTGAAGCACCGCTGCAAGGTCAATAAATAACGTAGAACAATATCACTTATTTATGTTCTGAAGATTAATAAAAGAAGCCACACAATGATTAAAATATTTGGTTAGACTGGACTTTTTTCTCAATATGAACATTTCAGTTTAAACTCTTCCTTGCATTATATTTCACCTTTCCGTTTTATGTGGTTATGCTCTGAGATTACTTAATTTCATCCATCATAATTGAAGTAAATATCAATAAAAGTTCTAATATAAGTATAACAAACATATTTCATGTAAAAACCATGAAACATCCTCTACTGTGAGCAATTAGCCAGCAGCGGCAGCACATGACACATGCTCATCCTGGGGAGAAATCAGCAGACAGAGGTCAGACATTCACAGATCTGGGACGGAAACGGATTTCAATATCACACGTTTTGTCTCAGTGCTGCCAGAACTGGACAAGAACAAAAATCAAAATGGCAAAAGCAACAAGTTTTAATTCCTGTCACATGTGAGGATCAAATTTAATGAAATACTAGAAGCCTTTCGGGAACATAATCCCTTAGTTAAGCTCATTCTTTCCAGGTAATGAAATTTCTAAATACAACTGAAATGCTAATTTAAAATGATGCCAGAGCCTTATCAACACCTGCGTGTTACGCTAAACGCATCAATTTTACAGTAAAATCCAAGCTTATAGCCAGTCAACACAAGAAGTGACCAATCTTAAGGAGACCTTCACACCTATAAAGCCACAAAAATACGAGTTTTAGTTAGATCTTAATTAATTAGCACGTCATTTCAAAATATTTGTGAATTAGTATATTTTAATAATAACATCCTGGCATATGCAGCTATTTTGTGGTGTGTTCAGGAAATGTACCGAATTTGAGCTAAAAAGAATGCAGTGATAAGATCAAGCCTTGCAGGCCTCATTGACTGGGATTATTGGACACTGTCAATCCCACTTCCCGTTAGTTACACCGCCAGTTCCCATGGCTCTGGAGCTGAGGATGATTGACGACACAGTATCTCTCCAGCCACTGCGGGTATCGAGGCTGAGCTTCTCCCTCCTGCGATGGACGAGTGTGCAGATACGCAGAGCAAAGAGCTAATTAAGCGGTTAGAGAGGCGAAAACCTGCAGGGTCGTCAATTTCTGCCTGCGATTAAGACGTTTTTCTTTTAAATGCCTGCCCCTACCCAGTGACGCCCCCCGTTCTTCATCCCGACACAGTCGCCGCACCCCTCCCTACCCTCATCCCCACTGGGAACACGAGCCCACGTTACCTCGGCCAGCCAGCGATATGTCAAAGCCCCCCCCCCCCCCACCTCGGGAAGTGCCACAGGCCACAGATCTGGCTTCTCATGTGCTATTCCAGGGGTTTCTCCTGCGCACACAAAGCATGCTCAACGGGGTGAATAGCCACTCACTTTATGGGGCAGGAACAGAGCATTGACACAGGAAACCAGGGATGCGGTGTCCTCAGAGTCGGGCTGGCCGCAGATAACAACCTGGGGGGAGAGAGTGAGGAGGCGTGGGTCAGCCCGGCCGCCGGCTACCGGTAATGAGGCGGGCAGGTGTCTCTGCCAGTCCATCTGGCCCCAGCTGAACCTGCAGCTTGTTACCGCGATCTCCAGAGTGTGATTCTGTATACACACTCTCAGAAGTCTGCTGGTCATGGACAGGCTCTTTGACTGAAGCATGGACACATGGTAAAACGCACACAACGGTTATGCCATATATACGGGCTGCGTGAAAAGGCTTACTCCGGAAAAAAAAGGTGTTTAGGAGCACCGGCACTGAATCCAGCACGTTGTTGGCTCGCATCGCATCACTTCGCAAAATCCGTATGTGCCTGTGGATGACAAACCCTTCCCTGGCACGGTACCTAAGAAATACCTAAAAAGCTCCACTCAAATAGACCCCCATCCAGAAGAATGACGTGTCGATCGATGTGTATGCTGTTATTTTTTTGCTAGCGTGTAGCTGTAATTAGCGTGCAGACGAACCTCACCTGCTTCAGCGTGTAGTGCTGGGCCATGAGGCCACGGACCATGTCCGGCAAGGCGATGGGCATCTTGACCACGAGATCGGAAAACGCGGTCAGGAGATGCTCCAAGCGAGAGGCCCATTCCTGCCTGCCCGTGTAGTGGGACAGACGGAGCAGATTCATCGCAGAGATAGAGTTGCCACTGGGCTCAGCACCATCCTGTTCTGAAGACAAATAATACCAGTGTAGACCGCTCATTCAGTACAGCACTACTGAATAATTATGGTAAAAAGGATGGATGTTATTTTACAAAAGTTCTGTATGGCTACATCGCCTGTAAATTTATTTAGACCTCCTATAGTTACGTGATATGTCCAGATACTTATTATGTACCTTTTTACCATAATTATATAAAGTATAATATAAGCATATTTATTTAGTAAATAAGTATGATGCAATAAGTGAGCCACGAAAAAATATGTAGGGAGGTCCAGTTTCATCTGAACTGATCTGTTTTTATGCCTCAGGCCATGTTGCTGCTTTCAGCAGCAAGGGCTTAAGACTGAGTTCTGTAGCACAATCTGCATACGACCAATTAAGGCCGTGCGCATATACAAAAGCGGACATGAATAAGCGCGAGCGGCGGCTTAAACATCGCTAAAAATCACAGGAGGCAGGCTTGGGGTACTTAATCTCGATAGCTTCGCTGAATACCCTGCTGGGTGACAGTGCTACGGCACGTATTTCATTCAGCACAAGAGAGGCTGCCAAGCAAATATAACCTTTTCAAAGAAGAATAAACCCGTAAGGGCGCATGAAGCCAGTACAAATGGGGAAGGTTCTGCTTTGGCGGAGAGGTCAGTTATTACTATTCTGATAATAAGAGCCATATCACGAGCGCGTGTGAAAAAGAGGTTAAACAAAGGGGGTGTACAGCAGACTGGTGTATGCATTCCGGGCAAGAAGTCGCCTTTCTCTTGATGACGGAAGCAGAACAGCCCCCCGACAAGACTTTTGCCCCGAAAAATGTCCGAACAAGCTTAAAAAGTAACATGTTTTATCACATTGTTGGGATAGCCTGACCTAAAGCAGCAAAGCCTTCCAGCTAAGCTCGCAGTGATGGCAAAATCCTACTCACATCCATTTTAGTATGTCACAGGTGATGAAAAATAAAAAAAATAATAACTACTCGCTTTTGTCCCCTTGGCTTATATACGTCAAGGCCATTTTCACAGGGTTATCTGTCAAGACAGAGCCCCCCCTGTGGAGGATCTCTGAGACTATCAGCACGCATGTTCCCTTCCAGGAAAGTAAATACAGAACCATGCTGTTAAGGACATCGTGCTCAGGCAGTTATACCCCTCAAATGCATTTTCCTGTCCCACCTTAACAAATGTCACGCCCTAACCCTCCCTCACCAATCCCCCTTCTCCCACCCACCCACCCACCTAAAAGCATTACCGATGCGGCACGATATCAAAATAAATCAAAATAATCAAATCAAAATTTATTCAGGGGTGGTGCGATTTAACAAACGAGATGTCAGAGGCAGCCGCATGGGAGGTAAATCAATAAAGCTGACGTCAGTAGCTACTTTGGGTTGAACGTTTAGCAGTGCAAGAGGACATAGCTGGAAATTAGCTAAAGGTACATTTTTCACTGACGTGTGGGAGTTATAAATGACCAGGCGGCTAGTGGAACCGGAGACAATTAAAACGTTCAGGATCAAGCTTAATGCCATGAAAGTTGCACTGTAGGCACGAGGATGGGCCCAATTCAGCTGAACAACCCATATCTACTGCAGTTTTTCTGTTCTCTCGTAGGGAAAAATCGATCGTTTCAGATAAAGTCGAGGGCAAGAAACTAATTTCCTATGTGTTACTCGAGGAAATATGCCAAAAATTATTTTAGCTCCAGAAATTGTCCTGCGGGGATGAATTTGCCACAGAAATATTTCTTTTTAATAATGTCAGGGAGGTAAGGGAAGTGTGTAAGGGCCCAAGAGTGTAACGCGTCAAGTAGAATGACAGCCAAGTAGCAAATCACATCTGAAGATGCCTTTTAGACCCGCCCTCCACTCCGCCCACTTACCTTCCTGCTAACCTGAGTGCTTTACCTTGCTTGAGTGCCAGCAGCAATGTAGGGTCTCTGGGGTCGCTGCAGAAGTAACCGCTGCCCTGGCTGTCCCAGAAGAGCTGGTCCTGCCCTTGCTGTAACTCCTCAGCCCAGCCAAGCCAGAACGTGTTCAGCGTGGCCTCATACAGGTCCAGTAGGCCACAGATCACAAAGGCATAGTCATCAAGGAAGCCTGCAATAGGGGATTCACTGGGGCAAGACAACAGCAGAGAGATCATGATGCTCTCTAGCGTGGCTGCATGCTTTACATGAAAAGTAATACATAGAAATATCTATTCAGGTACTTTTAAAATATGCAATAATTTTTTTTAATGTGTACAGATTCCCAACACACAACTTCACTGAACGGACCCAGAGATCTTAGTTCTTCATTCCCAGACCAGTTTTCCTTGCCACACCATGATTAGTTGAGTGTAGGTCGGTGCAGGAAGACATAGCAACACCTAAGACAGTGCTGACAGAACAGTTTCAACACATGCTCCAGGGCTTAGTTGCACAACAAAAAAGGAGGTGGGTAGTGAATGGGGGGGGGGGGGGCACAGGGGATGTGAAATCGTCTGGCTGCTAAATGGTCCTCCCTTTCATTGAGGTGTTCTGTCAGATCAGCTGCCCAGTTTCGACATTTCACACTGAACCATCACCGGACCGTGGGCTACAAAAGCACGGCCTATGAACACACAGCCAGTGAGCTCATGTGTTGTCGATGGAGAGTGAATTCAGACATCTGTCCCGGCAGCGAATGATTCACATGAACTCATGGATCAGGTGCATGGTGGGGATGAGGGAACAAAGGAGTTTATTTGCAGGAGGGTAATATCACAACATTTCATAAGAAAACCAAAAAAAGATCCATCTATTCATCCACCTGTACCTTTTAACACAGGGGTGGGGAACCTGATCCATGGAGGGCCGGTGTGGCTGTGGGTTTCTGTGATGGCCTCTCAATCAGCCAATAACAGTGGGTCCCCAGGACTGGAGTTGAGAACCACTGCTTTATTATTAGCTGATGGAAATGTCATACCAAAAACCAGCACCCACACCGGCCCTCCATGGAACAGGTTCCCCAGCCCTGTTTTAATGGCTTGTCCTAGTCACCTAGGTTGTGGGGCACCAATAGAAAAGTCATTTAATATTTCTATGGTCAGGATATCATTTATATTCTATGTAGATGCTTAATGAGACAACAATAACAAAGAATCTTTCCACATAAGAAAAACAATTTCTAAAATACAAATGTTGCATCTTATGTGTTTAACAGTACCGTGCAAAAGTCTTACACAGTCAAAGAAATGATGTTTAAATGATCTGCGTGTTGGTGTAAAACTATGGTATTACGGCTGTATAAGTGTGTTAGCTTAGCCATTTGAAAACCACTCCTAAGTCACCCCAGTATTTGCAGCAACTGTCCAATACACCCATGTATATTTTAACTTGAGCAGTAGTACTCCTTCTATTGCTTGTATAGCTAATCAATACCTCATTCAGTTATTTAACTAAGTTTATTAAGTGAAATTTAGGAAATACACGGAATGGCTGACGTGAGGAGAGGTTTGGGAACTGAAGCGGTGCTCATCTAGCCCTCCAACTAGATATCAGTAGCTTTTTGGAGAACAAGAGAAATTACTGTTAGTTTTTCTTGTGTTACTCTTAATCTGCATATGTTCTGATCTTAAATTTTGTTTTTTTTATTGTGATCAAATGCACACTTACTCCTCAGATGAATAGCTTTAAACATTTCCTTTGACTACCTTTCTCAAAAACTAGCTTTCCTGACCTTCATCAAATTATTTTGGTCTTTATAAAAACATACAGTCAGGTGAAACGTGTTTTAAATTAGTGGAGCCTCTCATTACGATTACAGTAGCACTGCTTCATTCTGAGTTACCAGCATTAACTTCACCACTACATTCACTTCCCTGTATTGTAACTAATCTATCAAGAATTTTAACCATGAACTATAGATAAACTACACTGGGCGCTTTTCCTTTGCACCAGGTACCATATTTTTGGTACAATACTTTTGGTACTTTCACTTCTGGTCAAGTACCAGTACCAAAACTTCCAGTACTTAAGCTACCAAATCAGTTGGGGTACTTTTGTGATGCTTTAGGTACTTTTGGGTGGGATGTGCAAATGCCTTCTTTGTCGATTGGTCATGCAAATAGCCTGCCTCTCAACGCTTCTAAACTCAATACTAGTGCCGTCTTGAAAAAAGTTCAAACTCAGCAAACAGTGATAAACAGTGATGACAAGCCCTGCATAAATTGGCTTCCAGCCTCACCCTTTTTTCCCTTTTTTGTCATTTAAAAACTTTTTTTTTGTTCATCCACACAGAGAGCACTGTGTACTATATCCACAGGCTATAGAAACAAAATGGCCCAGGTTTAAATTTTGGATATACATTTATACAAATAAGAATATACATATTGATTTAACTGCTTAACTCAGCCCAGGCTAAACTGCTTTGCATAAAAATAATAATTCCACCATCATCATCATCATCATCATCATCATCACCATCATCTAAAGCACAACCTGTAAACGGTGCTCAAACAACCAGCCCCATTACAAAAATTCTACATCCAATATCTTCCCCTTCCTAAACCTCAACATCACAGCACCTTGGTTGTTCTAAATAAGTCTAAGAGGAATGTCCTGGCTCTCCAGTAAAAACTGTACGTCATCTATAACCGTATGTCTTTCGTGTCTCATAAGACCATGACTCAGTTAAGTGGCGACATCCCTTTTGCAGCACCAGTCTGGTCCCGATGTTGCCCGATTTGAGAGTCTGTACGGTGCCTTGCTGGCAGCTGTCCCAGGAAGCATAAGGCAGGGGAACACCCAGCACGCGATGCCAGGCTAGTGTAGGGCAGACACGCACACGCACATGCACATGCACACGTATGTACGTATATACACACACACACACACACACACACACACACACGTACACATGCGTGCACATGTGTGCATGCGCTACCACACATACACACAAACATATGCATACACACACAGTTCATTTATTACTATCACTGTGGGGACTCTCCATTCATTTCTATGGATATAACCCTAATCATAACTATGATAACCCAGCCCTAACCTTAACCATAAGTAACCAAATAAAAACAGACTTTTGACTTGGAAAAATGTCCCCAAAAGCTTAAAAAGTAAGAGGTTTAACCACATTGTGGGGATATTTGCTCCCCTCAATGTGGTAAAAACAAACCCACACACACACACACACACACACACATGCAGACACACTATGAGCGATTCTTAAGACACCTACAGTAACCACAAGGTTCTGCAAGTGGGAATCGCACCTGCAGCCACGGGGGTTTGTGGCGATGGTGTGAGCATCTGAGTCATCGCGCTAGCCTTTTAATAACGCCTAGAATTGTAAGTATTATCATCATTACCCATATCATCATCATTTTTAGTAAGAATAACATGTAGAAATGTACATTTACAATGGCCTGTGTTCTTCCCTCCTAAGCACTGCATCACATAATGGCAGCCGAGCTGCAATGTCTGCACCCCCTCCTTCAACGCCTCGATAATCTCGCACAGCGTGACGCCATCCTCGCCTTCTTCAGTAACCCTGCCAGGTCAGACTGGATTACTCTCTCTCAGTCTCACCTGTGCTCATAGCGCTGCCAAACAGCCACGGTGCCAGATGACAGCCGCACTTCATGACGACGTCTTGGACGGAATGCCCACGACAAAGCGACATCACCTTCATACCGCTTTACATTTCACACTGCTGCATCGAAAGGGGAGTGTTCGACACGTAACGCAAACATATCTAATAAGAGTTACAGGCTATGGTGCTAGGGCAAAATATAGATATACATGCTTTGTTTGTTTTTGCTCTCGTATGTTTGCACAGCATTATTGAGAGCATGATGGGATGGCGGCTGAATCATAAATGTTACATTTCTGGGGGGGAGCTGAAGCTGACACAGAGTCCCGGTGCTGCAGAAACTGGGCAGAGCAGACACGCAATCAGCAGAAAACAGCAGACTTTCCTATAAATTAATCATCTTCAATCTGGCAATGTTCTGGCGCCTCGGAATTATTAAATTCTGAAGAGGAAATCCTCCAGCGGCAGATGGGAGCAAATTAAAAGCGGTCTGACACATTTCGGCTCTCCGAGCGCACGGCCGACAGTGAGCCGGTTTCCGGTTCTGTGAAGAACTTTTTTTCTTTATATAAAAAGAATGAAAATGCTGCGAGCAAAAACTTCCCCTTTGTTCTGGCGGAGAGCGAGGTATGACAGAAATCCACACAGACTTTCTGCAGCCTCGGTTTCCAGCAGCCTGGCTTTAGTGCGTGCTGCACAAATATGCGTGGTGTGGCTGCAGACGATGGCAATCAGATGCGTCTAGAACTAACATAAGAGGTGTCCTGCAGCACAGACGTTTCCCTGTGCCCCTCGGACTGCAGCCTCATGCCCTGAGCGAATGCCAGCCCCTCGGCACGTACGCCCGGCCCTCCACAGAAGCTGGTCTTTGATGTGCTCCGTAACGCAGCAGCTGAGCGAAGAAAAGAAGCCGGCTAGGGACACTCACATTTGCTCCACTTCCATTTTGTCGCCGCGATAGCAGGCATGCAGGATCCGGCCTTTGGCCTCATCCCACAGGTGATCCCTTAAGAAATGGGCAGTGCGTACCGCCCGTTCCACCAGTGCCTTGTCCCCTAGGGCGGCGCCGACGCGCGCAAACCCTGACAGCATCAGCCCTATAAAGATGGAGATGGGAGAGTGAGGAAGGCTGACATTCCCAGCAGAACAAGATTCACTAATTACATTTGCATATTTATTTATTTATTTATTATTAGCTGCTTTTATCCAATGTGACATACATTTTTGAGATGGCCACTGAGGGCCTTGCTCCAGGGTAAAAAGGTGAAAGCACTCTGCTAATCACAAGATTAACTAACAAAGATGAATTGCGGCAGATTATCGTGCACATCGTGCACAGAGCGCCAACACACATCACATCAGGATCACATGGTAATTCTACTATTTCCCAAGATGCCTTCCCCATTATGCCCAAACATGGTAAGAAAACCAGAAGGGACTCCTTTAAGACCCCGTGAAACCTGCAGCGCTGAGTGCTCAATGGTAGCAACGGGACTCTCACCTGCGATGAATGAATGGAATGATAAGGAGACGTTGCATGGTGAAAGCTTAAATTGAAGTGAATTAGAAAAGTAATGGGGCTTGTCGATGTAAGAAACACTTCAATTAAGCCACGGCTCGGCCTACTCTTAACTAGGAAATCAGTTCATTAATCACATTCCTGGAGTGCATTACTCTGGGAGAAGACCTGGACTACCTATAAAGATTGATAAAATAAATGTGGGGGAGGGGGCACTGGAAATGACAAGCTTCATATAACAAGGCATGAAAGTAATGGTGTCATTAAAATCAGAGACAGAGTCATGACAGCATCACAGTCCAAGTCAAAAGTGTGGACACACCAGCTGTTAATGCATTTGTCTTTATTTTAGCTATGTCATTTACCTTATAGTAAAAGGCCTCGAGGCAATTAAGTAATACATATCAAATATTGCAACAGTCAAGAGGAGTTTTCAACATCTGAAAATTTTCTCAAATTTTAGACCCTTCCAAACAGCCTCCTTTTGCTTCCATAACAGCATTGCAGACTCTTGGCGTTCTTCCAACCAGCTCCCAGATGTAGCCACCTGAAATGCTTCTCTAACAGCCCTGAAGGAGTTTTCACAAGTTCTGGGCACAAGTTGACCACCTTACTCTTAGTCTTTGATACAATACAGACGCTCCTCTACTTACGAACTCTCAACTTTCAGACATACGAACGAAGAGAACTGTAAGTCCAAATTGTGTTCGTTGGGCTCTTGTTTCTTGTCAAATCAATTTTTTTTTTCTGCACGCCAATTCCGCCTAGTATGACTTCTGGCCACTACTCCCACCGGGCAACAACTAGTAGCATAGTGATCTGCAGTGTTTATGAGGTGGAAGTAGCTTATACTGGAAAATCCCACTAAACAAAGTGCACACAATTGTGCAAGACAATGTGAGTAATATGAAAAAAGCAGTGGATGACTTGGGAGTCGCTAGCTTGGGCTGTTCTGCACACTCGCTACAGCTTGTGATACACGAGGGGCTGCGATGACAAAGATGTGTAAGTGACGCTGTTGCCAGTGGGGCATTTTAAGCATTGTGGGGCATTTTAAGCATTCGCCACTTGTGTATCCTCGCTTGGCAGATATTCAAACTGAACTGCAAATGCCTCAAAACGCTTAAAACAAGATGTAGAAACGAGGTGGAACAGTACGTTATGTATGTTTCCAGTAGCCTAATTAAAGCTTTTTTGGCTTACATTTTTTCATTCGTTTTTTACTAGTTAAAAAAACATTAATAATATATAAAGTATAAATATTTATGTCATACATATTTATTATATTAAAATATTAAAGTAAAAAGAGCTTGTGTATCAGAATCTTTATCGGTATCGGCAGTTGTGTATCGGAATTGGATCAGAACTGAAAAAATGGCCCATCTCTACTCATTATCAACAACTGATCTTCAGTATGTTTCGTCTGGTACTGTAGCTACAAACAAGTCTATCAGGCAATGGACTACAGATGTGATTTTTTTCAATGACTTGCAAACGGCCCATATACCTATGAATGTGATTTGGGAACCAAACCCTGCCCCCCCTCACCGTTCCAGGAGGAAAGCATCTTAGTGTCCAGGTGAGGTGGAGGCCTGGTCTTCCGCACCTCTGCCAGCCTCCTCCTGCCCTCTGCCAACACCTCATCCGTCTCCTCCATACTCAGGCCAAAGCGGGCAGCCGTCAATTCCAGAGAATAGCGCACGATAAGCACGTTCTGCCCCGACAGCTCGCTGTGAGGGTCCTAACAGGAAGGCAGGAAGGAATAAAGTGGGGTTGCTAAATTTACCCACAGAGAGAGAGGAGGTATCCCAAAAATCCATGATCCCAATAAAAAGCAGCTCCTCTGTAGGCAGGACTTCCACTTGTACTGCCATAATACTGACATCCGATTTCCGTGTCCTATTTACTCTTCCTCCAAAGTAACTTCCTAGGCTAAACTGCTCCACCAAAGAAAATCATCCCACACAGCAGCACTAAAACCCTTCTGCATAACTGTTGGTTCTCTTGGGTACATGCTGCCTCTCCCTTTCCTCTCCCTCACAGAGGGCGGGTGTGTACCTGGGTAGGGTCCACGTTGCCCTGCTCTTTGACACCGTAGTGGTGCATGAAGATGTCAGCCCGACTGGCTCCCCCAGTGGCGCCCTCTACAGGTTCCGGGAGTAGCTCCCTGATCTCCCCAGCTGTCCATACACAGAAGGCACCTTCCCTCTTCTCAGCAGCCCCAGCCGTGGGGAAAGAGTCTGCATCCTCTGCGCTATAGAAACCTCCGGACTGCAGGGCAGAACGCAATGGTAATCCCACTGATACTCTTCACAGGGGCAGACTAGCATGCAAGAAATGCTGCAGAACATCATGTGTGAAATATACACATTTGATGTGTGAAATACATATTTGTGATTATTTATTCAACTCAGTTCTTCCATTTGTATAATAATGTTGTTGGAAAAAATGTGCATCAAAATACATAAAAACTGTAATTATCAATATGAAAGTAACCTTAATTAAGCCAGCCATTTGTCTACTGGGAAACCATAGTATTCCACAGTAAATGGCCAACAGGCAGGGCGATGGGCTGACCTCGCTGACCCAGTTCCGGGGTTTCTGTGCCACTGGCGTGCGCCGGCTGCGGCGTCAGCAGAGCTCGTGCGGCCAGGTGCCGCGGCGGGACGAGCCGAGGAGATTCGAGATCACTCACCTTGTCACTCAGATCTCTGGAGACGTAGCGCAACACATCCCGAGCCACATCTGCGAAGAGCTGCTCCCCGGACACCTGTCCCAGCGGAAATACAGAGGATTGCTCGTGTGCACCGTCCCAAAACCCACTGAGCCGGGCACAATGATGACAAACGCGTGTTTGTTTGGCTGCCGCCCCCTTAGAAAACAGGTTACCCCATATTAAGCTGGATAACGCCTAGGGAAAAGGAAGCTGTCCCGTACACACAGAAAAATTAAAAGGAGGAACCACAGCAGCAAGTGGCAGACAAAAAAATAGATATATTCTGCAGAGAAGCAGGCAAAAAAGTTGACAAAAGTAGGGGCAGGGAATAATTTGGGGTACGAAGGATATGCGATATTTATAGTATGTATCCAAACGTGTCACCAGCCAAGGGGCCTGATGTGTGAAATATGCTAATCATGTGAGTGACAAATAAATCTTTAAAAAAAACCTCCCAGCTATAAACCCCCTGAATAACTGCTCAAGGGTCAAAGTGGAGTCAGAGCATCCAGCACCAACAAACACCACAAACAGAACAACTTCACAGGTATGATGGTCGCTGTGCCACCCAGCGGGTTAGGACACCATGCCTGTGATCGCAAGGTCATCGGTTTCGGTCCCACGGCTGACAGAGCGATTTCATAGTTGGGCCCTTAGCTCATATTGCCCCAGGGCCTGGTTGACCCTGCTATCGCAATTCTATGTCACTTTGGATAAATAAATGTAACTCTTGGTTCTGTAACTCTTACAAAACCTCACATCTGCATCACACTGGATGCCTCGCCTTCATCACTAAACATTCAATATCTTTAGTAGTGGTCCCCAAGTGGCGTGGTGTGTATTTTTCCCTGCATGGTCTACCATAGGCCTCATTCTGTTCGAAGACAGATTTGATGTAGCTACAATATGCTTCACCCGTGACTTTTCATCTGTGCCCCAGGGACACGGCGTTACCTTCCTGCTGGGAGATGTGTCCTTCAGAACAACCAGGCTCAGAATTGCAGGACATATGGCTTCACTGGGTATTTTTGGGCACAGAAGGAATAGTGTGGCAATATAAAAAACCGCCCAATCAGCAGTCATCAGTCTTGAAGAGCATTTTTGCAAACAGTAAGGCATTTGAGAAGAACAGCTCTGACCCATGTCGTCAAGATTACATGAGAGTCCAATGGGCAGCCAAATTCTCACTTCTTTGACCTATGTATTACATCTGTTAATGGGGATTAGTATACAAGCTCAATATGATCCAGTTTCAAGTGCAAATGACTACAGGACTTGAAAATATATTCATTTACAACCAATGAGAAAAAGCGATGCTAGGATTACAGTAATCCCTCTCTAGATCCCGACAGAAAGACAGAAAGGAAGCAGAAAAACACAGGCAAGCGTGAGGCAGTGCACACAGAGTCCCAAAAGGCTCTCGCACAAACACAGGTGTCCCCAACCTGATAGGCGGTGATGTTGGCCACCGCCAGCTGCGCTTGGTCGTACAGCATCTTCTCAAAGTGAGGAACGTGCCAGGAGGAGTCCGTGGAGTAGCGGTGGAAACCCTGAGGGAGAAGCCGGGACACAAACAAAGAGGAGTGAGGGGAGAAGGAAGAAAACACAGGGAGCGGATGGAAAAAGCAGGCCGAGAGCAAAAAATACAGCGAAAAGAAATGAATCCAGCAGAACGGAAGAGACGCCAGACAAAAATGCAATAAATAATCCAAAGTGTGGTTCAATAACAGGAAGTAATTAAAGGAATGCAGCCTCAGTAAAATAAGAGTGTTTTCTTAAGGAATATGGGTGGCCTTCCATTTCTAATGATGTAGCCCGTCGACATCATGTGGGAGGGACAACAGCCTGTTGACCTACTGCTCATGGCAGGAGGGATGAGAAAAACACACTTCACATCAAGCTCCTTCCTTTCATTTAGCCCAGCAAAAACGTTATGTTCAATAAGGGAACATGTTTATTGAAATAGGCTGCCTTTTCAAGATGAAATGCACCAGATGCGGAACTGTGGCCCACACATGCTGGTGAGGTTAAGCCGCAGTACCTGCGCCACATGGTCATGAATGCCACCTAGGGCCATCATCCGCATTGTGTGGAGAGCCATCTGCAGCGCCTCCGCCCCCTCTGATGTGGACCGGTTCGTCGCCCAGAACGACATGAGGAACATCAGGTTGACTGTGGAGGCAGCGTAGAGTCACTCGAGAGTAACTGGATTGCAGAAACCGACGCATGTTCAAAAAAATCTATGTCTCTCTATGTACTGACAGCAATTAGATTGAGAGCATCTCCCCAGGGACACCTGGGGAGCGGATCTGAACCTGAGGTACATAAAATCCCAACAGATAAGATTAAGGTCTATTGAAGGATACAAGACACAAATTCCTGGAACAAACCACATACCTGGTTTCAACAGAACATGAAGAGTTTTATAATTGTAGGGAAATACGTAAAATATTACAGTGGGGACAAGCAGCACAGTTATGCTGCTCCAGGTCAAAAAGGAGAAGCACCAGATTTTACTGACTGTCCAGATATATAGTCTGACAGTATGGGTGTAAATTTTTTGGCCCCAAAAAATTGTTGGCCCCAAGGTGATTCAATTATGATTATTGAAGGAACAATTTGATACATTACAATTCTTTAATTTCTATCATGATTAATCGATTATTCGATTTTTAGATTACCTATATTCAAGCCTTTTTTAACTTCACTGAAAAAAACACAAATATGACCATGGGAACTTAAGTACACACTATTAATGAAGTACAAAGGAAGTAGAATCTCAGAACATTAATTTTTATTGTTGTAATTAAATAGAGAAACAAACTGGGGTAAAATTGCCCTTAAGGCCAACTACTGGACAGTACAGAAAAAAAATCAAACACTTTAATAAAGAGCTACCTGACTGGGGGGAGAGGGGGGAGCATTGGCCAAGACTGTCACATTGGACCAATGTCAATATCTTGATTTTTAATGAGTATTGGCTGATACGATGTTAAAAAAAATGTCATGCATCTCTAGTTAGTTAGCTAGTTAGCCACCTCAGGGTTTTGACCATTGCTGCCGTAGCTTACAAAAAGAATGATGCTACAAAAACCATTTTTGCGTTACAAAAGAGAGGCATTTCCTAAAGCACTGGAGTGCAAAGATTATCTCTACCATTAGATAGAGTGCTCTCTGCTACAAAACAGGGGCGAGTTTCCAAAAAGGGGTTGTAGCACAAAGATCATCAGGTAGCACGTCCTTTGTGAATATTAATGAACCTTCCCTGCCATCCCACGTTTCAAAAATCTGCGTGTTAGCACCGCTACTTTGTGCGTCTACCTGCAGCACGTGAACGCATGTTCATGCAGCCCTGAAGTAGGAATACCTTCATTTGAAGGTTACAGACCGATGCATTGAACTGCCACATTAACAATCGATTCATCACGACGCATCCGTGCATGGATACATGCCTATGTGACAGTGTCCAGCTAACCTGGTGTGGGGAACTTTGGCGCTTCCCTAAATCCCCCATACTCTTCTTCATAAGACTGTGCCAGCTGGTGGAAGCATCTCTGGGCCACTCCGGGGGCATGTGGAGGGGCTTGGCCCGGCAGGGCGCCGATAGCTGTGGCCTTTTTGAGGGCCTCAATGACCCGCTTCCCACTGGACTCAAGAGCCTCCCTGTTGCTCTGCCACTGAGTGAGAAAGATGTAATGAAATAGCAGGCAAGGAGAGATACTGAGTTATGCATGAAAATGTGCTTAAAACTCGGCAATATTATTACTACTATTATTATGGTTATTTTAATTATTAATTACAAAAACAACAAAAGTAATTCTATCAATTTATACAGTTCTATTTTCCTCTGAAGAAATTTAGCTTACAGACCTACTGAAAGCTCAGGTCTCCTCCTGAGACTGAACTAGCAAAAAATTCAGGTTACAAATCTGTACCCTTAAATACTGCATCTTATTCTTGGGTTATGTGCCGAGGGAAACCCGACCTGCTCTATAATTCGCAATAATACAGTTTTAAATCCAGGTCTGCGTCCACTATCGCCAGGAGGGAAGTATGTGCCCCCCAAAAAAGGTCGAAGCTCAGGGGTCAGCCATACGCTCATTGGCCATCCTCCCCCCCCACAGGTCGCCTGAAAAAAAGAGACATGCAAAAGCTAGAGAAATACTTTGAATTTATGCACATTCACATATATTACAACCTGCCATTGTCTTTGATAATGGTGAATACTGCTTAGTTAAAAAAAACAGATCTAATGTAAATTTGGCAAAAATTATGACAATCAACTGAATAACTGAGTATCCAGAAAATGACAAGACCTATATTGGAAGACCCTTATTTCAGTTAGCTATATATCCTCCTAAACAGCCCACAACATCACACACAAACAGCCCATAACAACCACAACACAAAAATCTCCAGAAACATACATTTACAGTGACAAATAAAACCTACTGAATTCTCCTATAGCAATGTAGGGAATGCCTGGTATGAAATTTGCTGCAGCCTGGTATGAATTTGCTGCAGCCTTGCCTGGATAGCTTTCTGTAAAGACTACAGTTCCTCAACCCTGGTCTGAAGACTTTTGTTCAAGCCAGACAATGAACCACCTGATTTCTAATTGCTGTTTTGACTTGAAACAGTTCAATTCCTCGACTGTTTTAAAATCCTCACTGCAACTTCAGAGAGAGCTGCCAGCATCCAACACCAAAGCAGAATAGCTCTGTCACACAAAATTTCCCCCACAATTTGAATTGCAGAAGAAGCCTGCGATTGTTTTTATAACACAGGATGCGAAATTACTATTTTGGATTAATTTCAACAATATATCTGATCCAAAATGTAATGTCGCATAAGAAAAAAAATATTATCTTTTAAAAATGCAGACCTGGACAAAAGTCATATAAAGTTTGTCCACATCTGGCCGCTCCTCCCGATCTACTTTGATGCAAACAAAGTTGTCGCTGAGGATCTTGCCAGTTTCCACATCCTCAAAAGACTCCCTCTCCATCACATGGCACCAGTGACAGGTAGAATACCCCACTATGGGATGGAGAACATAAGACATACTCAATATCAGCCAAATGTAAAGACAAGAACACATATACTTATACATAAATCTTGTACCTGACAGGAATATAGGCTTATCTTCCTTCTTTGCCTTGTCGAATGCTTCCTGTCCCCATGGAAACCTATGGGTCAGTATTTTTATATTTGTTTATTTAGTATCCATTTTTATTCAAAATGACATACAACTGGGACATCAGGGTCAGACAGTCCCTGGAGGTGTTGGGGTTAAGGGCCTTGTTCAAGCACCCAATACGAAAAAAGCCTGTAGACAATGGGATCTGAACCAGCAACCTTCTAGTCAAAGTTGCAGAGCACCGACCCACGGAGCTACGCACCATTGGTGAATAATATTTTAGGAATGGTTTAACAAAGAAATGGGTTGCATTTCTGCGGTTCTCACCAGTCCACTGGGTTATGTGCATGTTGCAGCAGATATGGTGATCTCTCTTTGCTCAAGCGATTTATGTATCTTCCTGAATGTCCAGGTCGGCTGTTCTGCGCATCACCCCCTGATGCCATGCAGAGACCGACTATACAAGTGGTCCTGTGGAAACGTCATAGTAGGGGAAAAAAACTTTAAAAAATTACTAAAAACGTACACCAAGGCAAATAGTAGATTGAAAGAGGTTAAAATCAGGGGAAGTCGATATAAATATGTGAAACCGGAGAAAGACAAATAATAGGCTTTGATCGCTAAACGAGCATGTTATGTAAATACGGAAAATTAACTACACAATCAACAATCACAGGGGAACGACGTCAGCATAGTGACATGTGCAGCACATCTGCCGGACACACTGCGTGTAACATGATTTGTTTATGACTGAGAAAAATATCTGGGTGTTCGTAGATCGGTACATTTGCAGGGTGAAATCGAGACTGAAGGCAGCTTTGACACCCCCCGATCGGCAGTTTTTGCAGCCAGCGCAGGCAGGACACCGGAAGCAAAACAACACAGAGCAGAGACGCAAACTGCATCATCTACTTCGATCTGACGGGTAAACGTCCTTAGCTAGTTAATAACATTAGCCACAGTATCAATGGCTAAATTCAAGCTTAAAGTTAATCTTCCGTCCCATTTACCTACAAATTCCACCACACAGCTGGGGATGAAAAATGTATAAAAAGTTATAGTTATCTGTAAAACGTAAGACAATTTACCTAAGGTAAGCCAACACACAGTCAGGAAAAACCTGACTATATTGCTGGAAAAAAATGTGCTCCTGTTTTATATTAAGTGTCACGGCAACTTTAAATTGCAAGCGACTGGCCGTGTTACAGTATATCTAAGACATGGAGACACCATACCCATAATATCATACTACAGTACATGCGCCTGTTGTATAACCAGATTAAAATTGCTGTATGTGCACGGATTATACTCATTAGACCAGGTATACTGTACTGCTTAAATACTGTATGATTCGTACTGTTTGGAAGCCATCGCAGCTGTCATTCTGAACACATGCAGCCGTCATTGATCTGTCCAGGCTTAGATGCTGTATTATCTGTTGTACTTATGTTTACCTGGAGCAGTGCTGGGGAGTCCTTACGTTCCCCGGGGAGGGGCACGTTTTTCTAGGTGGGAGAGGGAAGCCTCCGACGTCTCTGCTGCTCTCTGCGACTGGAATCTTCTCCAGTCTCGAGAATATCTTGTTGAAGTTTTGTGTTGCGGCTCGACTGTTAATATGAAGCGACAGTGCCCAGGCCCGTCTTAACATTTCACTGAGAAAAACCGAGCAGTCAGCTGGCCGGAGCTTTAATTCGCTCTGCCGAACTGTAAAGTGAAAGTGCAAGTCAGTGCGCAGGTCCGTCTCAGCAAGTGGCAGTACCCTGTATGACCACACGGTGGTACTGTGCAACGGAGTTATCCTAGGACGACCGAGTTAACTGTTAACTGCTTCAAGTGTGTATGTAAAAGATGCTGGAGGAGAGTTACCGTACATAATGAATATCATGGGTCGACAGAGCCTCCCCAGTCGCCTAAGTCGGAATTTAAATTAATTAGCAATTAGGATATCTGCAGACATCCCATCTCTCCCCAAAGTTCCGGGAATATCCCCCAAATTGAGAACATCTCCCTAACACCCGCAAATGATGTGCAATGTCCTATATATATATATATATACACACACACATATGTAATGAAAGGTAAATTTTATGTAGCTTGTCATTGCAAAACTGAATTGTGTTGGATGTTCAGGAGATTGTCATTAAATGGTGTACCGTGGGAAAAAAAATGATTTTTGAGGTTTTTGTCTCAATATTTGATATTTCTCTGGTCAGTTACATGCTGTTTGAGCAAGGCATTACAAAAAGTTCAGTTAACGCTATGAATGCGTTTTGGCGGTGGGGGAACGAAAAATACAGTAAAACAAAATGTAGCTTCTTAACGCCTATATTTTGCGCCGACTTAACCACTTGAACACGCGTTAGACCAATGTGACGTCTCAATGATGTAGTGGGATCTTGGACTTTAGTAGGACTCCTTTTCCATTCATCCACACTTAAACGCTAAAACGGCTCCGTTTGGGTGACTTGGGGGTGAAAACTCTGGGATAAAGTGGCAAAAAGGGAGAGTAATGTCTGTGTTTTTAAACGGAAATGTATCAGTGTGGACGTAGCCTATGCCAGTCGTAAAAAAAGATGACTTCTCCTGCTCTAGGTGAATTTTTACCTGGCTAGCCAACAGAAGGTATTATGCACGGATTTAACGGTTGTTTGTTTTGTTTAGTTGTTTGAATGCAGTTTGATTGTCATCAAGGCTGATTAAATCGGTTGTTTCATGTGGTTATAATTGTATTCTGTCATGGCGCTTTGCAGCTTTGCGCGGTTTTTGGGACCCTGTAGGCGGGCAAAATAACAAGTTATCTGTGACATGCTGTTTAAGTGAATTGCCATATATAAATTACCCATAGTGTGGTTGATTGACATCCTGTGCGGGTTGTCCCCTGTCTCGTGTATTGTGCTTCCTGAAATTGGCTCCAGACTCACTGTGATGTCATACTGTATAAAATAATGGAGGATGGACGGACAGCTCGGGAGGTATCATCGTGACCTCATACATTACTCATTCCTTCTTCTGTTATGCATGTGTTTGTATATTCCCTTTTCATGTGGGTTTCCTACTATGGTATAGTGTGCCAAAATAACAAATATAATTTCAAAGTACAGTAATTCATTGTTGGTTGTGTGTTGCCCTCTGCTATTTTGTGACCAAACTCTGTGTGTTTGGAGAGGACACATGCAGCGCGCATGTTTCACAAAAAACATAGGCTATTTAAACTGAAATGCACGTGTGCTGCCTGCCCCATTATTCCAACATCCATAACGTAAACAAAGACAGAACAACGGTGCCCTGAGAGCTGCAGCATGTGGTGAAAATAATCACTGAACCTCATGCCAGATGATGGTCTAATTTCCAGACAGTCTATATAGGGGAAAAATCCCTGAATGCTCAAATATTTGTATTGAACAGCTGAATCAGATTTGACTGACATAATTCTGAGTTGGGCACAGCCCTATTCTACATCTCAATCAACTTTGTCAGAGGATATATTTGAGACTGAAAACACAAAAGCTTGGAAAACTCTTGGAAGACCGGAGACGTCTGGAAAGGTTTTCAAGGTTTTACAGGTTTTCATAAATTTTGAATTATTACACATGACACCCTGGATTATTGCACATATTTACACATGTATTTTAGCATTCTTCTGTGTAACAGAGACATAGTGGATCAGGGGGGTGGAGGTAGTAAAGTTTGATGAGCCCAGGCACTGTTGTATGTGGGTATACTGTTAAATGCCAGTGTTATGAGTTTGAGGGTGTGACTTCTTCTTCTTCTTCTTCTTCCCCCCTTTAATGCCCTGGGCAAGCAGTCTGACCGTAGTTGTTTACCTGGCTTGTTATGGAACTGTGCGTTGTGTGTAGCGATACTCACTGGCCACTGACACCTCAAGATACATTTATGAGTACTGTTGAGTTCAAACCTGCTGTTTGTTATGTGCAATCCCTGACTTTTGCAGGGAAATACTGATGATTGTCATGATAAATTGCAATTTAAATGGCAGTTTAAAGGCTGATTTTTGCTCCTAAATGAAAATTGAAGGAACCAGTTAGTTAATTGTGATTTTAAGCTGTTCATTATCGTCCGAACGTGACAAGCACTTGCCAAACAGCATTTCAAAATCACAAATCTGAGGTAGACATTGAACAAGTTATTTTAGTCAGTGCTAACAAAATGCTGGTGCTCACATTCTTCCTAGCATTTTTTAATTCTCTGAGGGTCATTATTGTCATTATTGCTCTGTGGATTTCTCGTGTACTGAATTTTACTGTGGACTTTTGTTTTAGATTCTGCTGCATTACCCTTATTGGATGGGTATGGACTTACCTGCTGTCCCAGTGAGTTGCCGTACTGTTTTGATTGTGTGTTTTTTTTCTGCCTGCCTGCCCTGTTTTATTCTCTTATTTGTTCAATAAATCCCCTGTTTATATTTTATGGCTGTGTCTGTGCTTCTTCTCCATTGCCGGTCCTGTCAAGCAGTCACAAAGAAAGTGATGTTATTTCACTTTGATGCAAAGCAACACCTTGGGTCTTAAATCATATTAAACTTTTATCAAGCATTTGTCATATTGATATCGAGGAAAATTATATTGCAGTAACTTTCATTTTATTGTCCAGCTCTAGGCCAGTTATACTTCACTATTGAAGTTTAGATCTGAGGGCTAATTCTTCCCAATTATGCCCCTCAAGGTCTATCTGTAGTTGCACACATGAGCATCGGCATCACCGTGAAGGATCAGAGATTCTCTAAGGTGCATCCTTTGGAGCACTTTACCCACTTTCTCTTAGAAGGTTGGATAGTCCTAACTGCTGTTTTGTACATGCACACCAACAGCAGTTAGAGCAACTCATAGTCACATAGAGCCAGCCTTGTTGTCTACCAGCAAAACTCCGACTGCATAGCCCTTAGGCTGATACTTATGGGTATCCTCACATCTGCCTGTGGTCTGTCATCACGAGGGACTATAGAGTTGGACAAATCATCCCTGATAAAGAGGCTTCATTCCTGATGCCATGCTATGTTTGGAGATAAAGCCATCTCTGTCTAGCCAATACCTTTCCATCTCCTGCTATAAGTTTGGCTTCCTCCCTGCTGAAGAGGTGGCATTCCACATACTCAGATTCAGTCTTTCGCTATGGCCTGATACTTCTGGATTCTTCCCATTCATGCACATCACTTTAGTACAGTGGTTCTCAATCCTGTTCCTGGCGCCCCCCCTGCCAGAATGTTTTCGTTCCAACCCTACCTTAATCAGGGTTATATGGTCCTTAATAGGCTAAAGCCGGTTTTCTGACAAAACGTCCTACTTAATCAAAACATCCTACCATAGTGGTAATCGATAGCCCTAACCCAAACTCTTACCCTAACCCTAACTCTTACCCTAACCCCAAAAACCCCTAAAACCTTTACCTTAACCCTAACCCTAACCCCTAAAACCTAACCCTAATCCCAAAATGGTGAAACTGCACATGCGCAGAAAGGCTCGATAGCACGTCTCGATAGGTAGGATGTTTTGTCAGAACACCGGTTTCAGACCGAACGCGGAGAGCACTACGCTGCGCTCCGTGCCGCGCGCCGCTCGCGGAGCTTGTGCGAGCTCTGTGGTCAAAGATGAACTTTGTTGAACTTTACGTCACAGCGCTCAGCGGTCATTGTCGCGCGATCAATAGAAACAAGGCACCGAAATCGAAATAGAGGGAAAACTTATAGCTCTGGGAACTCAGACACGGACAATATATCACACAACCGTAGAATCTTTTTGAATGCGAAATATACATCGTCGCTACTGACCACGAGCTGAAATGACAGGAGAGAGTTTTGAAAACCACGCCTACTCTTTGCGCAGAAGCCCCGCGCGAGCACAGCGCGTTGAGCGGACACCGCTGTTTTTTTAATGGGGCGCGCACGGCGCATGCCGCGTTTGTTCTGTAACCAGCTTTAGCCTATTAAGGTAGGGCTGGAACGAAAACATTCTTGCAGGGGGTGCGCCAGGAACAGGATTGGGAACCACTGCTTTAGTAGGACTTTACCTGACCCCATCATTTTATGTAGCCATTTCAAGGTGAGCTCAACCAAGATATATGGGTGATCCTGCTAGCAGCAACTTTCTGGCAAACACCACAGTTAAATTGCGTCCCATGGGGTAACTTCTGAATTATACTATCTGTCTCCTTGTCCTAGCCCTGTTTGTCATCTATGTGTTTACAAGAGGCTCAGGATTCAATGAATATAGTGCTGAGAATTATGGAAATATTTGGGGAATAGGGGAATAGTTTGAAATAACTATTACTGCATGAGTCATTTGCAAATTTTATCATGCAAGGTTAGGACATATGGGCTAATGAGTTAGATTATTATTGACAAGAAAAAATTTCCGTAAGTATAATGTGTGTAGTATGTTTATTTAAAGTGTAATAAACAAGAGGGATACACATGCAGATAAATATGCCTAGAGTGTCTCAAAAGTAAGTATCTGAATTACATTAGATGTCCCACATAGAGGATCCTTTGAATTGGATTTTTACAATTGGTGGCTCCATTAATTTCTTAATTTCCCTTTTTCTGAAAAAAAACATTGTTTTTTTTTTTTTTTTTGAAATGTGTCCTGTCCGGCAGCTTTCGCAAGCAGAATAATGGTCTGAATGCACTGCTGTGTCAGACATATTTGCTTCGCCATGAGGGGCTCTATAAACTCTGTATAGGCCCTTCATGTTGGTCGATTTCTTTTTATTTGTATATTTATTGTATTTTATTTTTAACACATGTGAAATATTCCAGTTGCCGAGCTGTCCGGAAGGGAGTGATAGTGAAGAAAAGGGGTAGGGAGAGAGATTAAAAAGGAGGTGATAGAGGAGAAAAAGAAAAAAAAAAAAACATGAACAAAGGGGGAGACAACAGTGGGAGAGAGGCTAAGAAAGACAGAGTAACGTAAAAAGCACATATCAAGGCAAGGAGAAAAAAACAGCATTTGAAATACAACCAAAAATGGACGAATACAAAGGCACAACCAGAATTAAAGAAAATAAAACAGATACACAGACATCCAAAATCGTTGCATGTGCTTGGAAGGGAGCG